GCATTGAATCTGTACAGTAGCTTTGGGAGTATGGCCATTTTCACAATGTTGGTTCTTCCTATCCATGAGCAAGGAATGTTTTTCCATTTATTGAAATAAGAAGCCACATTTTAAACCAATTTAATAGGGAGTAAACTAGGACTAGAAGTTATGCCTCTCCTTAAATTAGTGTGTGTCGTTTGACTCAAAACCTTTTTTAATGTTTTGCCAACTATAAGGCCCTGTTTCTAAAAATAATTATATAGTCAACCTCTTGTTACTAACATTATTTTGTTTTCTTCTCACAAAATTATAATTTTTCCAAGCATTTTGTAACCTCCAAATTTATTTCTGTTTTTCACTACTGGAGATTGAACCCAGGGGCATTCTACCAGTGAGCTATATCCCAGCCTTTTTTTGGTGTTTTTGAGGCAGAGTCTTGATATGCAGTTCAGGCTGGCCTTGAGCTCACTTTGTGGCCCAGGCTAGTCTCGAACTCCCAAGGATCCTCCTGCCTCAGCCCCCCGAGTGCTGGGATTACAGGCGTGCACCACCATGACCGGCATTGTTTTGTTTTTTTGAGACAGTCTCACGAAATTAATTGCTCAGGCTGATCTCAAACTTGTGATCTTCCTGTCTCAGCCTCCCGAGTGCTGGGATTAGAAGTGTGTACCACCACGGTGGGCTGGGTTATGCTTCAGCCTTTTTCCTACCTCTTCTGTGACAGAGCAGTACAAACCAAGTACATATAAACTGCCTTATTTTTGGCAGGTTTACTGAATGCCTGCTCTATGCCAGGCACTGTTTCAGGTACTTGGGCTACATCAAGAATAAAACTGATACTGGAGATGTTGCTCAGTGGCAAAGTACTTGCCAAGCACTCCTGGGACCCTGGGTTCAATCTCCAGGACTGGGAGGGAGGAGAGGGGCGGGAAAGAATATAGAAAACTAATAAATAAAATTCTTGCCCATATGGCACTTATAATCTAGGAGGGTAGGGATATTAGTACATCACTAAATACAAATATGTAGTATGTGAGGAGAAAAGCAAAGCAGCAATGGGAATAGAAAATGCGTGCATGATTTTGTGTCTGACATTTTAGGGAAACCAGACGTGGATGGCCACACTGAAAAGCTGACAGTGGAATGGAAATCTGAAGAGAACCAGCGCAAGCCATTGACTTTGTAATCTCAGGCAGAGAGGCCAGTGTTCCTAAATCTGCTTAGCTGGGGTGCACGCGCCCGCAGGCAGGGAGATCAAACGCCGCCCGGAATGCGGAGGCGCGGGGACAAGGACAAGGTAAGCCCTACACTGCAAGGCTCTGAAAACCACTGAAAGGTCTGTGGCATTCAATACAAGGAAAATGGGGAGCCATTTGTGAAAGGTTCTGTTTGTTTTTTGTTTTTCTTCCGGTACCAGGGATCAAACTCACGACCTTGCGCTTGCCAGGCAGGCGCCGTGCCTCTGAGCTAAATCCCCAGCCCCTGTGAAAGGTTCTGAGGAGCGAAGTGATACAAACTGACCCCAGCACTACCAAGATGGTTTGCTTTACTCGTTGAAGCTTTCTTAAAAGGGAGCCAAAGACAGAAACAGAAGCATCGAGATCAGTTCGAAATCTGTTGTCACAAATCGGATAAAAATTATGTGGACTTGGACTCGTTTGAAATAGGAATAGTTTGTAAAATGATGCCTTAAAGATTTGCGGATGGATCCAGTCCTTTAGAAGATGCCCGGCTGCCTCCATTGGCTGTAAGACGCTCTAGGCCCATGAAGCAGAGGAGAGAGCAGGAGGAAGGTTTAGGACAGAAATAAATTTGAAAGCCAAGAGCAGATAAACCTTGAGCCTGGGTGAGCCCAGAAACTGTAAGTAGGGAGAAATTCCAAGGACTGAGCCCTGGAGTATTCTGACACAGTGGAGGATTGAGAAGGAACCAGTGAGAACTGGCTTTTGGATTTAGCAACACAGAGGAAAAAAGGATTTTCATTTTTAGTGATAAATCATCTCGGATATAACATTGCTTCTTAATTTCCATGAGAAACCAGCTGTGAATTTGAATTCTTTAACTCTGAGTTTTGGGCACACTTGTGAATCTATAGTTGTTATGGAAACCAGAAAGATGAGCTGCTTCTTGTTAATTTTTTTTTTTTTTTTTAAATTGGACAAGGTCTTACTATGTAGTTCAGGGTGGTCGTCAGCTCTCTATGTAGCCCAGTCTGGCCTCTACTACTTGGCTTCATCCTCCTGCCTCAGCCTCCTGAGTGCTGGGACTATAGAAATATGGGACCATGCCCAGCTACCCTCTTGTTGAATCTAATTCTACAATGAAGGATGAACACAAAGATGTGTTTGTGCTGAGGATATAGCTCAGGGATAGAACACTGGCCTAGGATGTGCAAGGCTAAGTCAGAGCTGTTGTTGCAATATTGTGTTTTAAACTAAAATGTATAGTATATGAACTACTTTAGATGCTTTATACAGCCAAAATAGCCCTATAGTATCCTAATCTTCATGTAGTCTCTCAGCCACTTTCTTTTGAATATTTTAGAAGTTACTTTCTTCTCTGTTTTTGGCCCACAACCCTGGCACATCTGAATGTTAGAAAAAAGCAACATTTTTTCTCTGTGAACAATCACCAATTTCTGGATCTCAGCCCTCTCACATATGTCTTAACACATTTTCAAACCAGCTTTTTATTTTATACAAGGCTTCACATGTGGCCCAGACTGGCCTCAAATTTGGTGGTCCTCCTGCTCAAATTTGGCAATCCTCCTGCTTCAGCCTCCTAAATATTAGGATTATAGGCATATGCTACTATGCCAGCCTCCATAATTATTTTACTTTTTTTTGGCAGTAATGGGGTTTAAATCCAGGACCTGCATACTGTGCTATATCCTCGGCCCTTTTGTATTTTTTATTTTGGGACAGGGTCTTTTAAGTCACTAAACTGCCCAGGCTGAGCATCATCCTGCCTCAGCCTTAAGAGTGCTGCAATTACAGGCATGCGTCATCATGCCAAACTCCGTGAATAAAATTTTAAATGAATGAACAAACATTTAGAGATGGGTGTAGTGGTGCACACCCGTAATCCCAGCACTCTCCAGGCTGAGGCAGGAGGATCCCTGGGAATTTGAGGCCAGCCTAGACTACATAGTGAGTTCAAGACCAGTCTAAACTATATAGTGAGATCCTGTCTCAAAAATAAAACAAACAAACAAATCCACAAATGTTTAAAAAAAAAAAAGTACAATATGGTATGGACTCTATTGTACAATTTTTTTTGAGATGGGGTCTCACTATGTAGTTCAGGCTGGCCTGGAACTCTCAGTGATCCTCCTGGCTCAGTCTTCTAAGTTCTGGGATTATAGGCGTGTGCCCCCACGCCCAGAGTGCAATTTGTGATCATGAGTTTACTGGAAAAATCAGGACCTTCTAAAGTGTTTTGAATAATGTAATAATGCCTGTGGATCTGAGTATTTGTGTGACCTCTATTTAGTAGATAGTGTTTGTTGCTTGCTTGCTTTTTCTTTCTTTCTTTTTTGAGACAGAGTCTCACTACATAGTTCAGGCTAGCTTTGAACGTACTATGTAGCCCAAGGATTACAGGCATATGCCACCATGCCCGGTTTATACTAACACCTTTAAAATTTCTATCAGGAGGTGGCTGCTAAATCAAAATCCTAATCATTATCTGCACGCAGCTGTCGTGAAACACCTCATATGTGCCATTTAAAATCCAACGAGAGCCGGACATGGTGCCGCATGCCTGTAATCCTAGCACTCGGGAGGCTGAGGCAGGAGGATTGTTGTGAGTTCGGGACCAGCCAGGGCTACAAAGGAGCTCAAGGCCAGCATGAACTGCATGGCGAGTCCCTGTCTCAAAGAAACAAAACAAGAAAAAAGGCCAGGCATGGTGGCGCATGCTTGTAATTCCAGCACTCAAGAGGCTGAGGTAATCTGGGCCTGGTGGTACACGCCTGTAATCCCAGCACTTAGGAAGCTGAGGCAGGAGGATCGTTGTGAGTTCTAGGCCAGCACGGACTACAAAGTTAGCTCAAGGCCAGCCTGAACTGCATAGCGAGACCCTGTATCAAAAAAAAAAAAAAAAAACAACGAGGGCCGGGGATTATAGCTCAGCGGCATACGTGCCTACCTGGCAAGTGAAAGGTCCTGAGTTCTATTCCCGGTACCAAAAAAAAAAAAAAAAACAACGAGGGCCGGGGATTATAGCTCAGCGGCATACGTGCCTACCTGGCAAGTGAAAGGTCCTGAGTTCTATTCCCGGTACCAAAAAAAAAAAAAAAAACAACAAAAACAAAAACAAAAGAAAGAAAACCCAACGAGATCATGTGGCCTCTAGCCTCAACCACTGTCTAATATTATTAAGCGTTCCCTACGCGCAAGAGACTTGAGCTGTATGGAGAGGCAGAGAAAAGAACGAAAACGGACGGTAACGCCACGCCACAAGTCCAAATTTACAAACGACCAAAATAACGCTATAAGACCAATCATTGAGTGGGAAAAAATTGCTTTAACAGCAAACCCCTCAAGGACAGGGCTCTGCTCCCAAATCCACAGTTCCCTGCAGGGTGCTGGCACTCACTAATCCCACTCCGGAACCACGCCGCAGGCCTAGGCTGCGAAGCTCACTCTGCCTGCGTGGCTTCTGGGTGGGTGTGGCCACGTGATAGGGCCGGACCAATCAGCAGCCGACCCGCCCTGCGGGGATCCTCAATAAATATCGCAGACGCAGCCGGCCGGCCAGCCAGCAGCGGCCATTTGAACTGGATCTGGTGGCGATCGACGGCCGTCTGGAAACGGAACCGCTGCCCTGCACTGCTTCGTCTTGTGCAAGCAGAGAGGAACGATCAGATAAGATCCTTTTCCTAAAAGGTAATAGAGATTCTACAAGTGGCTCCATACTAGCTGCTCAGGGGGCGGGAGTCCTTGGGAAGAACAGCCGTTTTTCCTCCTCTCTCCCCTCCCCCATTAACAGTGGGCGCCGGGCAGGGCAGTTAGGGGAAGCCGCCCAGGGGCGAGTCTGAAGTCCAGGGGAGCTGCGAGTTGCTTTATTTTTTACTTTACCAGCTGTTGGGCTGTGGACCGTTTTTCACCCTTTCCCTGACCCCCTGCCCATGCTTGTATTTCTGCAAGGGCTGGGAAGGAGGCTGGGGCGCTGTCCACAGAGTTGTACGCTTGGACTGGTAGGGTTGGGTCTTAGATTGCTAGATGGCTCTCAGTTGGGCATAGAGAAGGCGTAGAGTTTAACTGGCAGCTGCATTTAGTCTATGTTGACATTTGGTAAGGGAGATCGTGTTCGTGATTGAGTGATTTCTTCCTTCAACTAACTATTACATCTCTGAAACATGAAAAACCCGTTAGGAGCTGCAGAATGGGAGGTGGGCCTGACCTCAAGGTGCTAGCCTTTGAGTGAAGCTGTGGTAGAGAAATGTTACAGAGGAATAGACGTGTGTGCAGAGCAGGGTGGCGCAGCGAAGAATTGCGAATTTTTGAGTGGCTGAGCCAATGTCAGCCTGGGTGAGGTAGCGGGAGATAAGCCAGGTGAGGTGCACCAGGGGATACTCTATAAAGAGGGTGCTAAAACGGAGGACAGTGGATTGAAGAGTCGTCTCCCTCTTTTTTTTTTTTTTTTTTTTTTTTTTTTGAGTCAGGTCCCACAATGTAGTTCAGGCTGCCTTTGAATTCATTGTGTTGCCCCGTTCCTCTCGAACTCAACAGTGATCCTCCTGACTCAGCCCCCCCAGTGCTGGGATTACAGATGTGTGCCACCACACTCAGTTTAAAGAGTGATCCTAAGCAAATTATTAAACAAAAATCAGAACATCACCATTATATTAATTCATGTGAGAAGTGACAAATGATTGAGCGGAAGCAGTGATTTGCGAGACTGAAAATAGGAGCACATTTAATATACAGAATATGTAAATTTACATTTAGCAGTCATTTGTATAAAGGTGTTTATTACCTTGGAGTGGCTGAGATTTATATAAGGAAATGTGTAAAATTTTTTTGCAGGGGGGAGGGTTGAGGTGAGGACTTGCTATATACTTCATGCTGGTCTTGAACTCACCATGTAACCCAGGCTGTCCTTGAACTCAGCGATTCTCCCGCCTCAGCCTCCCAAGTGCTAGGATTGCAGGTGTTCACCACCATGCCTAACTGCTTTATAAATATTTAATAAATTACCAAATAGAATTTGGAAAATGGTATCCTGGAAACCAGAATAGAATTTTAGGAGTCACAATAAGAATTAAGTAACACATTACTGAAAGGCCAAGTA